GAAAGTGAAACTAATGCTGAATAAAGACACAAAAATGTTAGAGATGCCAGGAACGTGAAATGTCTGCCAAGGAAAACTTCAGGCAATGCACAGAGCTAGCCTAAGAGAGAAACTACAACTGGCAAGATTGCAACTGGCGAGGCTATGACGTGGGAGTGCCCATGTCCTTTGAAACTTACCACTATGTGCTCCAGTTACCAGACATTGAGTTATAAGACTTAAATCTTTGCACTGTTTGGTATTGGTCTTGTTTTGTTCCAGCCCTTTTCTGTTCCCCTACTCCTCCCTTTTGGATTTTTATTTTTTTTAAGTAGGGCCTCACTATGTAATTCAGGCTGGTTTTGAGCTTACTATATATTCTGGGCTGACCTCCAATTTGTGGTGATCCTCCTACTTTGGCCTCTCCTGTGCTGGGATTATAGTTACATGCTACTATGCTTGGTTTCTTCCTTCCTTTTAAAATGGGTAGATTTACCATGTCCCATTGTATGTTGGAGTAACTTTTTAAAAAATTTCCCCAGGCATGCAAAGCTGAGAGTTTTGTTTTGAGTCTAAGAGAAAACTTTAGACTTGGAATGTTGGAAATGTTGAGACTTTTAGGGGAATTAGTACGTTTTCAGTTGTACACAGGATCATTATATTATGTTAGGTAGAACTATGAGCTTGTTCTTGTGTTCATTTGGAGATTCAGTATGGAGTAAGGAGATGTAATAGGTATCAAATTCACAAGGGTTAGATTTGTGCTAGTTAGGTTTGATTGTCAACTTGACTGGAATAAAAGATTCCAAGAGAATTGATTATAGTGAAATTAACCTCATTGATGGGTTAACTAATTGTTATGACTTGTATCTGGATGTCTCCTCAAAGCCTCATGCAGTCATAAGTGGGGCTTTTTAGAGATGGTGGGATCTAGAGTGTGTGATGCTGGCTTCAAGGGTATGTGATTACTAAATTAGTCCACTAATTAATTTGACATAGTTCTGGGTGGGATTAAGGGTGCCCCACTCTAGATATGATTGCTACCTTCCCTAAAATTGAGTAACCTGGATAAAATATAAGAGACAAAAAAGGTGTTGCTGGTCCCTTGCAACTTATAGCTTGTTGACTTCTTCTTTGTGTTTGTCATGAACTGTTTTTCCTCTGCAATGCCTCATAGTACCCTGCCTTACAGCCAGTCAACTATGAATTAAAACCACTACAAACTATGAGCCATATAAACCTCTTTTTCTTTTAACTTTGAGTGGCAGGTATTTTGTCTCAGCAATGGGAAAAGATATCCATTGATGAATTCATAGCTGAAATGGCTATTAGAAGGTAGAGCCTAGCTGAAGTACGTAGGTTATGGAGGTGTGATCTTGATTATATATGGTTCATAGCCTTTTCCTATTCTGACTCTCCCATCCTCTTTGCTTCCTAGATGCCATGAATCACCTTCACCTTCTCCATCATATTTTTGCTTTGGAGCCAGCCAGCTATGGACTGAAACCATGAATCAAAAATAAACCTTTCCTCCTGTAAATTGTAGGTATCTGGTGTTTTGTTCCAGTGACAGGAAAGCTGATTAATGTATAGTGTTTTAACAATTTTGCTGTTGTTCCCTTTATATTTAATCCTGCTTGAAGTCCACTTAGTTCTTTGCATCTGTGAGTTTTGTTTTTGTTTGTTTTCTTTATTTGTTTCCTTTTATCAAATTTGGAAAGTTTAGCCAGGCTGATGGCACATGCTTGTAATCCTAGCACTTTGGGAGGCTAAGTCAGGAAGATTACAAGTTTGAGGCCCATCCTGGATGGATGATTAGTCAACAATAAAAACATGTTTCAAAATAAAAAACAAAAAGCCTGCAAATGTAATTCACTGTGAAAGCTCTGAGTTCTATCTCCACCAATTTTTCCAAAAATATTGGTAAACTTTTGGTCAATATTTACTCAGATTTTTTTCTGTCCCATTCTCTCTAATTTTAGAATTTAAGTCACATTTATCCTAGATTTTTTAGTATACTTAATCAGGCTCTGTTTATTCAGGGTTTGTTTGAGTTTTCCCCTTCTTCAATCTTTTTTATTTCTGTGCTTCCACTTATATAATTTCTATTGAGAGCCGTCATGTAATAACCCCCTTACTCCCCCACCCAAAAAAAAAAACTCTAAATATTGACATTTTCCCAGAGCATAGTTATGGATTCCTTTAGGCATGATCTGGAGACATATTAGGAAAATGGGAATCACAAGATATAACAGGGAAGATTCAGTATTGGGTGTTGGTGGACTGAAAAAGCAAAAAAGAAAACATTATGGTAACATCACAGAGGTGATTACCATAGGGAGCAGCCACTATCCCTACAGCTAGTGAAAAGGGACTTGTCTCAGTTACTTTCTCATTGCTCAAACACAGACCTGACACCAAGAATTAAGGGAGAAAAAGTTTATTGAGGTTTATAGAGGTTTCAATCTATAGTCAGCAGGCTCCAAGTCAGGGTGGCCTAGTAGCAGGGCATGGCAGAGTTCTAGCTGCAGATCAAATGAGAAAAAGATCTACACTCTCCAACCAGGTTTCATCTCTCAGCATCACATTTAGCTATAAACTTATCAGTGAACTAATGCACTAATAACTACCACACCTTCATGATCAAATCACCTCTACAAAGCCGCACCTATGAGCATTTTGGACTTTGGAAGCTAGACTAGATGGTGATAACTGTAGGGAACAACTACCATCCCTAGAGATGGTGAAAAGGGGTTCAATCTTGATTCACTGGACTATTAGGTCTCAGAAATTGAGAATAATGATCCATCTAAACTATAAATCAGATCTCTGAAAGGAGGTTCTCCAGCTAGTACTGCTGCTACTTCAAGGGATAGGATGAACTGGTTGGTTGAGGGGCAAGGTACTGCCAAAAGAAGCTAAGGGTAGCCAGGCATGAGGGCACACACTAGTCATCCCTCCACTCTAGGATACTGAGGTGGGAGGATTGCAAGCTCAAGCCCACTCTAGGCAACTTAGCAAGACCCTGTCTCAAAATATTTTAAAAATAAGGCTAAGGATGTAGTTCTGTAAAGGCCCTGGCTTCCACACCTAGTAGCACATTTTTAAAAATTAAAATAAACTTGAAACTGAAAGCTAAAATCAGTTACTGTTCCATGGATACAGTGACAAAAACTATAGGCAAATATAAAGATGGAAGCCCCTTATCCCCTTTTGCTTTTCTTCCAATTTCCCTCTAAGGTCCTTTTATTATAGACATCAAAGTTTGCTAGAAGTTAATATACAGTAGACAGGGACTGAGCTGTCAAGGAAGTCAGCACAAAAACATAAAGAGCAGAACTGTGGCTGGAAGTACATCTGACAAAGGTCAGGCCTCAAGATGAAGATGCAACAGGCAGGCCTACATGTCTCCCTAAGGGATAAACAGTAACTTGAAGTTATACTATAATTTAGCACCACCTGGTCCAGGAAGAATCCAGATAAGCATCAGATGCCCAAGTGGGTGATCATAGCGTCTGGACTCATCCCTTCCCAAAAAATGCCTTTGTTCTTTCTGTTTCCCTATTGGATCAATACCTAAGGGGCTATACTTGAAATTCTAGGAGTTAATTATACTTTGACCTACGTTGTACCTACTTTGTGATACTGCTATACCCCTCACAAAGGGCCTTGGTGGCAACCCACTCAGGACTCCTCCTAAAAATCCAGGAGCCATCCTTCTCCACTTATTTCCAATAAAACTCTTTCTCTTTTTGTCTGCAACTAAATTCCTTGATGCTGTAGGAGCACTGACTTGGACCACTGACATCTAACAGGTTGGAAGTTATATTTCTCCTATTTGTGCTTTATTATTGGAACCTAGTAAGACTCTACTTATTTTTTTTCTATATTGTTAAACTATTTCCCGTCTTTATACAGGAAATGTAGTTTGCAGGGCCTGAGCTATAATGCCAAACAGGAAAACTTGGGTGAATTTGAAGGAGAGACAATCTTAACCAGTAATATTAGCACTCATGCAAAATTAATAGGAATTTTCCAAATAAGACTTAACATCATCTTACATCTAAGTTTAAGCTTTTATAGACTTCTAGAGCTTTTTTAAAAGATACCATGTCAATTTTCCACCATGCAATGATTACTGCTTGTGTCTTCTTTAGAAGCAAGGAGTACCTTTGCTGCACCTACTTTATATACAGTACTTGCCTCAAAATCATAAACAAGGGACATTTTCAGAGAGATTGAGTAACTGAGGATAAGTAAACCATGTCCCAGCATTAGGTCTCTTACCATCAGACATGAAATGCCATGGATTCTATAGGGCTCACAAGAAGAAGCCAGCCTTCCCACATTTCCTAAGTGTTGCTTAATATGAGTCTAGCAAGGGGAAGACCAATTTCGTGTTCTAACATTAGACCCATTGTCATTGAAAAATCAACCTGCTTCTTTTGTTTCTTCTTTCTTGCCTGCACTGAAGCTACTTTACCACCTCTGTCACCTCTAGTTTCTAGTGCAAGTAGATGGCCAAACAGGGAATCAGTGTTTAACATTTTAGTCAATTGTGTACTGTTCACAAATGAAGACTTTTAAATATTGAATAATTTTTCTTAAAAATTTGTGTGACACTGCCATTAGCATTTATTAAATTTTGGAATTTTTGAACCACAGAAGTTCCATCTGAAAAAGGTTACTTCTCCATCTCTTATGGATTTTCTTGTTGTTTGGGGTTTCTGATCATTGTTTTGCTATTGATAGTGATGGTTTTTTTTTCCAGTATAGAGGGTTGAACCCAAGGCCAATGAACTGAGCTACATCTCCACCACCACCGCCATTGCCCTTTTATTTTTTTGTTAAATTACGAGAGTCACTAAGTTGCCCAGGCTAGGCTCAAACTTGTGGTTCTCCTGCCTCAGCCTCCCAGAGTGCTGGAGTTACAGGTATCACCATACTTACTTAAGTTTTGTGTTCTTTAGTGATGGACATTTACCATAATAACCTTTTGTTAATAACCGTAAAGACACCAATTTGATGAGATATTTCACATATTTAATATTTGTATTTGAATATATTATACTAGAATAAATTTTCTGTATCTGCATAAATTAATTATATATTACATAGCACTCTGTCAATTATATAACACAAAGACATTTATAGGTAAACATAAAAATGGCAGTGTACATATTCAATAACTGAACAAGACAATAATTACCAGGGATTCATTTAATGGGAGAGTCTAATATTTCCTGGTAATCCTGCCTTCTTAAATTCCTCCAGTAAAGTTTATAGCCAGCAAGGACAAATACACTAATCATAATGATTACCCCTCCAAAGACATCATAGACACTAGGAAATATGTGTAATACTAGAAGCTGCAAGACCATAGCTACAACAATCTCCAGATGTTGTACTGTGCTGACCAAAGCTGGATGGAATTTGTCCAAGGCATAATAAACTCCTAAGAATGCTACAGTAGAACAAATGCATATAGCAATAAGATAACTCCATGTTTCTCCATCTAATGGGATGATGGGTTCTTGAAGAACAAACATAGTTGATACTCCCCAGATTGTCCCAGTCCAACCAAAGGTAAACAGAGCAGTCCACATGCTGATCTTCTCCCTGATGGATCTGTACACTATCATAGAAAGAGCAGTAGTCAGTCCTGCCATCACAGTCATAGTGTACCCAAAGGCTTCTTTCCAGGCATTTAACAAAGAATTGTCTTCATCAACAATGTTGGGGATCATGACGAGACAAACACCCAAGATGCTACAAACAACTGTAGCCATGTCAACATAAGCCATTTTCTCATCTACGAGTAAAAATGCCAAAATGGCACTAAAAACTGTGGTTGTGGCTCTCCACATAGTGGTCCCATTGCTGGGGGGGACGATTGAAAATGATGTATAAGCACAAGTGATAGAAATAACATTGCATACGCCATAAAAGAAAAGTCGTAATCTGTATCCCCTGGGCCCAAAGGGAGCCTCCTGATAGTAACACACAACTAACACAGATAAGACCTGTAAGACAGAACGGATAAAAATCAGTTCTAAAGATGGAACTTTAGAACGATCAGAAACAAGCCTAGTGATAAGAGCTACACATCCATGAGCCAAAGCAGATCCAAACAGCACTATCCACATTTTTCGGGACTGAAAAATATTTTTTTCTGTAAAGCTTTGGAATTGTCCAATCTCATTGGGCATTGACTCTTCCTTTGTTGGAGGATGAGTATCCATGGTTCCAAAGAAAGTTCTTCCTTTTCTTTTCATTTCACTCAGCAGACCTTTCTTTGGATTTTCTTCCATGAAATTCCCATAGTCTTCATTAATTTCTTCATATCCATCATCCCCAGGCTGGGGGTAATGAGAAGTATATTTTACCATCACAGTGTTAGGATGTATTTTCACCCGTTTTTTAACTGGATATTTTTTGGATGGAGAAGTATCCATTTCTTCAGATAATCAACTCTATTAAAAAAAGACAAATGTACATATTAATTCCATTGAAAAATTAATTTCTATTATAATACTATGCACCAATTCAATGATAGGAGGCAGAGATTGTAATAGAAGTCTTGGAAAAATGTAACAGGAAGAAATATGTATGGAGCCCACTGGAATTGTCTACCCCTTTTCACTTCCTTTAAATCCATTCCAGCTTCTCATTCTGCTTATCCTTTATCTTGTTTAACTCTATTTCCCATCTTTACATAACATACTGGTATATTTCCACCTTTGCATTCCTACCTATCCCTCTATTCAAAAAAAAGAAAGAAACAATATAGAACTTGGCTCAAACTTTTCTTTTTACCTGGATCTATTTGTCAACATTACAAATTATAAGTGAATAAGTCCAAAGTCTTTTGTATCAATTCTGTATGAAACCTAAATATACATCCTATTACAAATTATCATTATTTTAAGACATTTAACTCTGTGCTCCATACTTTTTTTTTTGTACAAGCAACTGAACTCAGGATCTTGTGCTTGCCAGGCAGGCACTGTACCAATGATCTGTATCCCTGTCCCTACATTTTTAAGTATATGAAGTATGACCAAAATATACAGTGAATCTTTGCATTTAAAATATTTCACAGTAAAAGGCATATTGATATTAATCACTCTCAAAATACTCCTTATTTCACAACCTTACTGTTCTTACCACTTTCTAAAGGAGTTCTGAAAGCCCTCTTTTGTATCTTTAGTTTCACTGTCATGGCTGCATTGATCTCCTAAATCACTTCAAAACATTTACCTTTCATGGTAATTTTGACTTTGGGAAAGATCCAGAAGTCCTCCAAGGCCAGATCTGGTGAAAAAGGTGGATGAAGACGCAGAGTGATGTTTTTATTTGATTGAAATTGCTGTAGATATTTTGAATTGATTCAGGATATTGAGGCAGCCATGAAAACATGCTCACTAAGGAAGATTTCCAGAACTTCTTTTAAAAGTGGCAAAAATGATGGGATAAACATGATCAAAGCAAAAGAGTATTAATGGAAATGTGTCTTAGTGTAATAATTTTTTAAAAATTTAAACATTCACTGTAGTTTCTTATAACATCTTATAAAATGAAATTAGGAAATAAAATTAATTTAGTAACATATACATTGTTGGTGACAATATAAATTATACACATTTCTTGATAAGCAGTTGGGCAATACATGTTAAGTTTTTAACTAGAAACTACCCTTTATTCAGCAATATCACATTTATAATTTTTATCCTAAAAGATTATCATGAAATGCTTTTTACATTTGTATGAAAACAAAGAGGAGAAAATAAGAATTCATATTTACATTTGCTTTTATAACAAAAAAATTATGGATGGAAAGATACAACAGAAACTAACGCAATAGGAATGGAAAAAACCTTTTTGAAATATATATATAACCTTTTCATATTTCATTTCTGAATCATGATATTACTTAAAATTAAATATGTATCTGTTACTTAATCAAAAGTGTAGGGAACACATATGCACAAAGGAGATCACTGTGGCTTACTACAACTAGCCATCTTACAATAGAATAATACGATACGCATTAATTAAAAATGGCAATGTAGACGATGAATTGGAAAGATGTGTACCACAGTTTGTTGAGTAGGAAAATAATGAGCTTTTTTAAAGCTTTTTTTTAAGCTTAAAAAAACTCATTTTTTTAAGGATTAAAGAAATAATACTTGTAAAGAATTTGCCACAGTGTAGCATATAGTAAACTTTCAACAAATGTTATCAATAAATTTGGTTTTCTTTCACCATTTTGACCCATTGTCCAGCTTTTACAATGTTATTCTTCCTTTTAGACTGTTTATTCACTCAGTTATCTATCTTTCCTTCCTTTCTTCTTTGAGCAATTTTTTAATTTCCTTCTCCATTCTCCCCTTTACCCTAAAAGAAAAGGAAAGGAGGGGAAAAAAGAGGATCAAGAGAAGGGGGAGGGAATGGAAGAGGAAGATGGGGAGGGAAGAAAGGAAGGAAAAAGGGAGAGGAAGACACAGAAGGAGAAAGGAGAGGGAGATGGAGAGGAGTAGGGGAAGGGGATGGAGAGGTGGAGGGAAAGGGAGGAGAGAGAGAGAGAGAGAGAGAGAGAGAGAGAGAGAGAGAGAGAGAGAGAGAGAGAATCTTTTTTTCCCCTCTGACTTCCTGGTTCCTTTCCAAAACTCATCAGTTTCAGAATCTCATGGCCCAGAAATCAAATCCAATTCTGTTCTTCGACACCATCTGGACAGCCAACTGTTCAAGACTATTTACTCTTTTCTCCTCTAAAAGGCATCCTGTTCAGCTGGAAAAACCCATGAGAAACATCACCAGTGCCTGCGAACCCTTAGGTTTCTTACCATGCTCCCTCCTAGCACAACCGCCTCAGGCTAATCTAACTAGTCTTTGGCCTTCTTAAGACATTTCCACTTCCAATCATATTTTTGGCTTTGGTAACCCCAAATTTGCTTTCCCAAATAGCTTTTCCTAGCTTCCCCATTTATATTTGTGATAGCATCATTTTTTAGTTCCACAAGGTAGAAATCAAGGAATACTCTGAATTATCCTTTCTGCCATCACACTCTTATTTGTTCATCAATCTTACTGTTTTTGTCTTTGAAATATTTTTCAGATTTTGCTTTTCTTCTCCAATTCTATTGTACCTTTATTATCAAGTTATTGTACCTCTGGATCAAGTTATTCTGAATTCCTATCTAGAATTCTGCAACTAGTCTCCCTAACTAGTTCCCTTGAATCATAATTCTCAAAAACCACCTACATTATCCCACTGCCGTATTAGTGTCTTTACAATGTATTCAAAACAAAAAACCTTACCTTAATCTTTCTGCATTGAAGAACCTAGAGTTCACTACAGTTATACTTTCTACCTAATCAAATTTCAGCTGTATCTTTGGGTCTTGGTTCCTGCCTATCAACATAGTATGGTTCATATCCATACTTAGCTCCTTAACACACATACTTAGCTCTCACCGACCAGTCCAGAATCCTCCCTGATCTCATTCTCTGCATGTACATTTCATTTTTCTCCAAGCCTTCATCTCATTATCTTCCCCTCTGTTCCAACTTTTTAAATATTGCTTATCTTTTAAACCTTAATCCCCTTTTTTAAAAAAAATAGGGTCTCACTATGTAGTTCAGACTGTCCTTAAACTCATTATGTAGCCCAGGCTGGCCTCAAACTCAAGTTGATTCTCCTGTCTGGCCTCCGAAGTGCTGATTACAGGTGGGATTACAGGTGTGCACCACTACACCCAGCCCAAATTCCGTCTTTAGAAGTAAGACTTCACTGATGTCTCCAGCCAATTGTTCTTCTATTTGTTTTTTTAAGATAGCACGTTGCTGTATATGTAGGACTTGGACTATGTAGCGTAGGCTGGCCTTGAATTCACGGCAGTACTTGTGCTTTCACCTTTCAAGTGCTGGAGTTACAGATGTGTGCCACCACACGTGGATTCAAGCCAATTGTTTGTTTTTCTCTTTAAACAGCTTCAGTAGTTCTTCTAATGTTTTCACAAGTCAATCTTTTTGTTATTTGGTTGGCTTTACCCAGTCAAGTTTTGTTCTAAGTTACTGAACCCAAATTCACTGTGTCGTCTCTTTTCCTTGCTCAGCAGTAATTATCTCATTGATATCTTTATTAAATCTCATGACTGCCCACTTGTTGCCATTCATTAAATTTTTACCTTGTATTCATTCAAAGTTTTCTCCTTTCCACTGCAAGTCAGATGTATAACTCCAGCACATGAGCAGAAAGAAAGGAGAAGTGGTCTTCTGTTGCACTCCTTCTCCAGTTCACTCTAGCATCTCTCTCTGAAGATGTGAGAAAGGGATCTGATCTTTTGGATGCTTGTACCCCCTCTTCTAGGCTTAGCTCCCCTATTATATTGGTGTGGTGGGGGCAGGTTGGGAAGGAAAAGCACACATATATCACACACTGGCTGCTTCTAAATGTGGCTTCTTGATATATAAACTTAGGTAGGCTGAACTACAGTCTCTAGTCAAAACTAGTTATCTAATCAAACACTAATTTAAGTGCTGCTGTGAAAGGATTTTACAAATGTGTTACAAGTAGGAATGTGGGCCTGACCTGGTAATGCAAGCTCTTTAAAAGGGGAATTCAGTCTTTCTTAAATTCAAAACTCCAAATGTTTGACCCCGTGGTGGTCCAGCCTGCTCACAGTCTACCTTTCCTTATTGTTCATGGACAAGGAGCTTCAGCCTGTGCTCATGGGTTTCCAGCTTGCTCTTAATGTCTTCCTGACTACCTGCCTACAGGCTTCACGCCTCCTTATCTAGCTCCATGATGGCAAGAGCGGTTTCCTTATAATAAAACTCCTATTGCCTCTAGGTTTGAGATTGAGCCCTGATTGTGATTGTGATAGTTCTTAGAATTCTCTCTTTGCCTACTGTCTTTGTCTCTCTATTCAACATATTCTAGCTACTCTCTAGGCCAGTGATCACAAATCTTTTAGAGCTTTCAGTGGCAACGAACAGCCTGTTATGGCATGTGTGCCATAGGTTCACCACCACAGTTCTAGGCAGACTTCCAAGTGGGAAACTAGAGGGTACACGCAATTGTTGCAAGTAATGATTTGGTAACCTTCAATCTCAGTCAGCTTTAAGGGAGGACATTTCTCTCGCTTTCCCTAAAAGGAAAAAGTACAATATTCTTCTAAGACCCAAACTCCATTGATGATAATATTATCCCTGTGACCGATAGTATTTCCCAAAGACAATCAGTAATCTTGTATCTCCCATACTACAGCATTAGGATTTTTAAATGTTTGACACTTGAGAAGTGGGGTCTGTGTTCTTTCCCACTGAAACTAGGAGGCTTCTACAACTATTTAAACTAAGAGCAGCAGGGACTATGAATTTTAAAGCTGGACACAGTTGAATTAAAAGTATATGTAGTCCAGTGTTTGCTTGAACAATGAGCATGATTCAGTATGATAAGCCTAAAACC